ATAAGATGGGAAACTCCCTTCTCGAGAGCACAGAGGCAGAAAGGGATCTTGGAGTCATTACTGACTCCAAGATGAACATGGGCCGACAATGCAAGGTCACGGTTGGCAGGGCTAACCGGACCTTGTCATGCATCCACAGACGCATCTCAAGCAGGTCCAGGGAGGTGATCCTCCCCCCCATGCGACACTGGTCAGGCCACAGCTGGAGGACTGCGTCCAGTTCTGGGCGCCCCACTTCAGAAGGGATGTGGACAACATGGAGAGGGTCCAGAGGAGGCCACCCGCACGATCCGGGGACAACAGGGCAGGCCCTACAATGAGAGACTGCGGGATCTGAACCTGTTCAGCCTTCACAAGCGAAGGCTGAGGGGGGGACCTGGTGACCATCTATAAACTCACTAGCAGGGAACAGAAGGGTTTGGGAGAGACCTTGTTTCCCCGAGCACCCCCTGGCATAACAAGGAATAATGGCCACAAGTTGTTGGAGAGGAGGTTTAGATCAGACATCCGTAAGAACTACTTCACGGTCAGGGCGGCTAGGATCTGGAACCAACTTCCAAGGGAAGTGGTGCTGGCTCCTACCCTGACCATGGGGGTCTTTAAGAAGATGCTTGATGCCTACCTGGCTGGAGTCATCTGAGCCCAGTTTTTCTCCTGCCCAGGCAGGGGTCGGACTTGAAGATCTACAAGGTCCTTTCCGACCCGACTTCTACGATTCTATGCTACCTCTTGATTATAAGACTCAACATTCAAGACTAAAAAGGAATCAGTAATGAAGGGAAACAAGCACATTCAGCTGGCCACATTTTACACAAGGCACCCAAGTTTGAGGGGTTGGCAGAGATTGGAGCAGGGCCAGAACACAGCTCCGCCAGCAGGCGATGTGAGCAGCAACAGCTTCGTAAGTCTGAGGAGGAGGCTGGTTGCCAGTCGTGCACAAGACCCAGATGCACACTGGGGACAAGCAGGGCTGGCTGCTCTGCTGGGAAGGTGAGACCTGCCACAGCTCTCCAGCTGCAAGCCATACAGATGACAGCACCATGAAGGGTGGTCAGCCACCTCCCAGAGACACAGCCTTCAGCAGCAGCACTGCCAAACAAGTCAATAGCAAACTGGCTGTTCCATAGAGGACCCTGGGACCACGTGACAGAAGATACAGGAATGGGCTTTGCTGCCACCAACAACTATGGGATGGCAGGATCACTGTGGGCCCTGCACGAGGGAACCATACCTTCATGAAATACTCGGGCAAGGAGGTCCCAGCCAGTCCAGATACACAAGGAGATGCCCGAAGAGCAACGCCTGCTTCTCCTTGGAACAAGTGCAGCTGGGAGCTGATGCTAAAGGCTAGCTCTCCATGGCTGTGCACACCATGCAGTCTCTCAGGCCTTAACAAAGCAGGCAGAAAAGACATGAGCAAACTCTTGGTGCTCCTGGCCACTGGATGGCAAAGGAACAATCCTGCACTCTGTCTGTCCAGATGGGACGCAGCCTTCTACTCCAAAGGCCATGATGCTATGAACAGATGTTCTCTGCCACTCTAAGGCCCAGCACATCTAAGCCAGCACATGTGTTGCTGCAAGTCTGCAAGCACAGCAGCTAGCAGGGGCCACTTTCTCCTCCAGCTGCAGCTACAGCAAACATAGCAACACAAGAATCAGGAAAATCCAGCCCCTGCCAAGGCCTGTCTCAATTTCTTCCATCATATCCTTGGACTCCTCAGTCATTCCTCCTCTCATCCACAGGCAGCCAGAGTGAGTGCCTTCTCTGCCTGTTCCTATCCACACCTCCTCCACCTAGTGCCTCATGCCAGAGTTCCAGGAGCCTTTGGCATGACAGTGGGTCACTGATTTCTGAATGGATATTTAAGTGATTTGGTACCAACCCCACCACTATCAGCTGCTAGTGACAAACACTGCACCACAACATCTGCACCACAGAGTAAGAGCTACAAAAGTTCTCCACTCGCCTTAGAAACAGCCAACAGCAAAAAGCAGGAGAGGACTGGAGAAGAGAGAGAATGAGCTAAACAGACATGGACATTGCATCATCAGGGTAGGTAAAATCCTACTAAAACAAGGAAGCTGATGTCCCCTTTTTGCTGTTGCCTCAAGAACCTCAAGCTTTCCAAAGCCACAAAAGAAGAAAATCAAAGAGAAGAACTGACCTTGGAGCACAGTTTATTAGTTTGACATTTCCAAACAATAGCGGCATTTTTTAAGTCAAGAAAAGCCAGAAGGAAGCACCAAATATAGGTTGTAGCAAAGTGGAGGCAAACAAACCAAACTTTGTAAGACTTACAAAAACATTTAGTGAGTGTATTTAGGTACAGACAAAAAAGGAACAGGAACAGGCAGGAAGTTTAAACAGGACCTAATCAATGGTTTGAAAATGCCACTTCAGGCTACAAGGGCTCCGGGCTTCCTTGAATCACCTACAGAAAACCAGCAGCTTGTCCAACAAAGAGCCTTGCGTAAGGACATCTGAGACAGCCAAGCAGACCCTCAGAAGGCCACCTGTCTCTGATGGCAGCCAGCATTTCAACAAAAATCCCTACAAGGGACACCTACAGTAACATGTCCATGGGGAAACATCATCCAGCATTCAGGCCATCAGGGACTGAAAGACCAACAACAAGGGAACACTGACTAAGCTAAAAAGACATGAACGCAATGCAGGTGGTAAGGAATACAGTTAAATAGGGCTAGTGCTGCAAGTCTGAGAACTCTGACTGTGTCCCTTGAACAGCAGTAACTCTAGCCCCTTTGCCAAGTCAGGAGTCTGCCTGAGGACAAGCACTTTCCCCCTGCACACTGTTGTTTACCTGCTTTGTGTAAAATGTTGGAGAAGGTCCCACAGGGTCTGACTAGAGTGAAAGGTGTCTTGCAAACGGGAGCCATCATCCAGCTGCAGTGCAATCCGCACCTGTAAGGAAAAGCCACCCAATTAGACCAGAGTTGCAACAGACTCAGCATCTTCACAGTGAGACATGTCCACATTGTACCCACCTCGAGACCCTCCCGATCCTGAACAAACCTGGCATTTTTCATCCTTAAAAGACAGAAACCAGGCCTGCCCAGTGAGGTCCACATGGGTACCATCATTCTCAAGTCATGTGGGTGGAAGCAGAGCCAGCACCACACTGAGTCATGCCACGGTACAAGCAGGCACTGTGCATGTACCCAGCTCTCCAAAGGGCAGGGCTCACTGACATGCCCCCAGTGCTGGGCTAACAAGGCTACACTGCTTCTACCTCGGGTGCCAGCACATGCAGAGCAGGTGCAGTGCGTCTTGGCAGAACACAGCCTCGCCCCATACAGACACACTCTCACCGGCAGGGCTCTCACTTGCACCCTTGGCCTCCAGCTGAGGCTTTAAGTTCTTGACTAGCAGCCAGCGTCATTCTAAGCCTCACAGACTGGGATCACAAAGCAGTCTCCTGACGCTACTCTCTGAGTCTGTTCTCTGTTCCAAATGGTCTTACCAGATACAAGGCTAAGGGTACTCCTAATTCCAGGCCCCAGATATGATACAGGGGACAAATATCCCACAAGCAACTCTCCCATGAAGAGGCAAGCCTTACAAAGGAGTGACTGTAAGCATACACTTCTCCTCTCGCTGGCTGCAACACCCCCACCCTTGAAAGAGGAGGGGAAAGCAGCTGGACGAGATGCAAAGATGGGACCAGTTTTCAGGCTGGATTTTTGAAGCTCTAACATGGACTGAAGGGTTTGAGTTTGTAATACAATGTAAATAATTTCTGCTGAGAGTTGTAGGATTTCAGTCTACCCCTGCATCTAGTTAGAGACCCACAGAGCCAAATCAACAGCTCTTCCTTCAGTGCCTGTCCCCCAGCATGCATCCAGCACTGTGAAATTCTGCACTTAGAATCATCTCTGGTGGATCCATGCCTTCCATCCACACCCTCACACGAGCTGTGCAGCATCCCCAAGCTGTCAGATTTCACCCAGGGCACAAGAGTCCAGTTTCTTCACATGTGTGCACTGTCAGATACAGCGAGACTCATCTGAGCACAAGGGCCCAAAGCCTCCCCTCTGCAACGAAGCCTTGGGAGGAGACTGCCTGCAAAGAAGCTCCATTAGGGAAACCTTATGGAGAAGCCGCTGTATCCTCCCATGGGAGAGGAAGCCAGCTGTCCTCCCCTTCTCACAGAACAGTGCCCCCAAGCCTGGCTGTGCTACATGCAGAGTCGCTCTGCACTCCAGCAAAGTTCTGGCCCTCAAGAGATTCCTGGTTTCTGATCAAAACCTCCTCAATTGCTCTGTGCTCAGAACTGAACCATCCGTAACACCTGCAGGGAGCCGTGGAGAGAAGGAGCACACAGACTTTTTATAACCCTGCTCTCAAATTTCAGTACCATGAGGGGGTGCTCATGCAGCTGTAGCAGACTGCCCTCCAGATAGTTTTCATGCTTCATAGGAACTTCCCAAAGTGAGAATAAGCAGAGACCACTTGGAAGACTTTGAGATTCCTGGTAGTTCCAAAAGACAGTAGTTTTTTCTATCATAGACCAGGCAAAGCTATTTTCATTCTTAACATTTCTTCCCACTGGGTTTTCCTTAGTTGACTTCTTGAGATCAGACATCCTCAGAACATCCCGTTTTAGGAACCTAACTCTGCTGAATTCTAGCAGCTCACATTCACTGCTGCCAAGCTTCTCTTTTGTTTTCAACCGATTTCTCCATTGACTGCGGTGTGAAGAGAGGTTGACTGCACTGGTTGCGATCACCAGGTCCTGGCAGGGAAGCAGCCTTCTAATTTAACACAGATACCATTTTGATGATGCCGTTTGGTAGCAAATGCAGCAAAATAGCTCTCCAGGTAGGCAGAATCTCCTGTAACAGCAGCATCTCTCAGTTTCTAGAAACCCACAGCTTTCATTAGCCTGACAGAACTGACTGTGAACGAAGAGCCCAATTAGGCCAAGCACTTATGGCAGGAACAACTGCTTTCTTCCTACAGGGATCATTCTGTGGGCCTTGCCTCTGCTGTGCTTGAGCTACTGGAGGAAGGCAGACAAAAATCAAACTGAAAACCTTAAGCCTCTTTTTGAACAGAAAACATGCTTAAAAAAAAAAGCAGACACCAGACAAGACTTCAAACAATCTACAAGGATTTCCTTGGTGGGGCTGGTGCCATCTACCTCAGACTACTGCAGAGAATGCTGGGAGCCACGAACATTTCTGCACAGAGAACAGCAAGCGTCCACAGCTACTAACAGAGGAGCTAAGTAGTTTCATCCCATCACTAACACGACCTCCTGTTTTCTTCCTTGCCCGCGACCAGCCTTAGATTATCCTCAGCTACAGAAGAGTGATGACAGCTGACATCACCATGCTACAAGACTCTTGCCCAGACAGTCAGTCTGCCAATTGCATCAGATTTTGGGCAGCAGTTCAAAGCCAAGCATGTCACGAAAGTCATATTCAGTCAATTAAACAGTCTTAAAAATCCCAGGCTGAACATAAAGTATTAGAGAGAGCAGTGCCAATTAGCTGCTAAGTTTACAAACATGTGAGTAAAAGGCTGATGACTGGATCCCTAGGTTCATTCTTTGTCATGGTGCCACACCCCTGGTACAAGAATCTGTTGGGCACTGCACTAGATATGTTTTGGAGGTCAAAGGTCTTTACAAACTGTGGATGGCAAATCCAAGGGCAATTACCATTCACCTGCAGAGACAACAGATCTGCTGAGCTGGGATGCACCTTGGGAAATCGCATCTCCTCCCATCACACAGCCCCATCCTGGACCTTGGCCCCCATCCTATGCTGCACTCTGGAGAGTTCATTCCAGCTCTGCCACAACCAGCCCCCACACTTAAAAACCAAGCTTGACCAGCTCCTCTTGGCACACAACTATCACTGATGAGTTTGCTTATGAAGTTACCCAGCAGTTTTACAAAATGCTTACTGTACGTGACACTGATTGCCTGTGGCAGTGAATTCTTTTAGTTTTCTATGTTCAGCAGAATTTAATGGCTGATGCCTTCCCCTCATCCTCTTGCTATGGAGTTCAGTTTACACCGTGTCCTAACGCTTCTTTAGAATAACACTAGCCATTTTCTTGCACCATATCTCTGTGTACTGCTCAGCCCAAGGAGCGCTCGTCACCCACAGCTCACAGGCTACACGGTGCCCAGGAGACCCTTCCTGCTTTTCAGCCCTTGTCTTTTCCAACCTCATCTTTAAGATGGGACAACCTGACACAGATGCTTGCTCCAGGTTGGGTCCTCTTTCCAGAGCCCTGGCAGCTCCACTACCCTATGAGAGCGAGCTGGGTCCCTTGTTAAGTTAAAAATGACTGCAGGTGATGCCAGGCAGTATTTGCCAACTCTCATAATTTTTGGCATTGTTCTTAAAGTCTATGCTTCAGAAACGTGAAAAAATATATATAAAGGAAAAAACTAAATTTATGTTTATATACCTAAGAAAGAGCTAAGTTTTTCACATTCCCAAAGCACAGACTTTAAGAACACCACCAAAAATCATGAGAGTTGGCAATACTGAGCCAGAATAGCTTCCATTACACTGTCTGTCATGAGATCACAGTACTAAAATCTGCACAAAACACAACAGAGCCACGCAGCACGGAGGTTTGGATGTCAGGGCAGTATGGCGATGTGACATACGGGAGAACACTCTTCCAACAACGGTTAGCAAGCGGAAACAGGGAGCTAGTGCTGTGTTATCTGCTTGCCTTCCACAACATTTGAGAAAAGTAGATATGAGAACATCAGCTACCAGTCACCATGACAGACAGATTAGCATTTCCAAACTCTCCTTAAGCAAGATCTCACATATCTTATGGGTTTATTCCCATAAACAGCTATGTATCGTGTCTAATGCTTTCTGTAAATACACACCTACCTGCTACCATGAAAAATATTCTAAAAGCTTTTAAAGAAAAACAGACATTGTGAGATCACGTGACAAAGACAGGTACTCGGTAAAGCAAAACATCCCTGGCACCTTACATTATACCAACACGAGCCATTTGACCGGCTGCTGAAACACATCCACCTGTCAGATAAACCAGCTCCTGAGCAAGGCGGCGAGGCTCTGACGTGACCACAAGAGATCGGGGCCT